TAAAAAAAAGGATTTATATAACATTCCGCTATTTCCTTATTAACTGGTATCTTCTTTTTTTATCATTACGATGCTTTAACTTTGTGGCATTATGTTACTGGTGCCCAGATTCATTTTTGACTGTTGGAAGAGCGGTGAGTTTACGATCTTACAACGCTATTATCCAGGGTTCGATTCCACGCGGTGGGAACAGCAGATGGCCCAATGTGGCTTTGGCTAAAAAATAAACAAATATACATTTTGACTACTGTATTAAACTGGTGAAAATAGTTTCATCCTGATGTTCCTATGTGGTAATTTGAATTGTTAAAAGGTACTTTACTTGTAATTGTTAACGACTTAACTTTTTAGCTCAGTTGGTAGCGCACTCGCCTGGTGTACTAGAGGTCCCAAGTTCGATCGTGAGCCCAGGAAATGTAAATATGGGATTGCCAAAAAAAACTAGCACCTAACGTGGGGCCGTCCTACGACCACGAAATAATTTCGAGGACGGGCCTTGTTTGTGAGGGGGAAAGAATGAGTTGTTAAAAATCTGCTTTACTGACAATTGCTAGCTCAGCAGACACAGTCCAGGTAGCCCATTGTGTAGCTTTGTGCTAAAACACAACGACAAACTTCTCATCTGACACTTATTCAAAAAAATGTGATGTTACACATTTTGGGAAAATTCGCAACAAAAACCTAATATTCCTTATGGTTCTTATTGTTTACAAAACTTTTCGAAATTCAACATTCGATGTGTATATATATATTGTACTTAACACCTAGTCTGCGAGTCAATGAAATTCAGTGGGCTACATAGTAGTATTCTGGTTTCTCATATTTAAGTTAGATTCCTCCCCTCAGAAATGTACTCTGATAAAGAGCTTAACCTAAGAAAAACAACAATAACAAAAAATTATTGCCAAAAAACTCACCTTTCCATAGTGTTAGGCCACGAAATTGAGGAATTTAAGGGGCTGGCCAGACTTTGTTCCATATTCACGTACCATGATTAATCAAATACAAAATTCTTATGAATGTTAGATCCTGATTAGTCTAAAACAAAAACAAAATCGTTGGATGGTCTATATTCCTTCATGTGCCATGATGGTGATGCTGCCCTAGTGCTATTGCCACTGCCACTACTGCCTCTGCTACTGTTACTACTACTACCTTTGGCCTGCCATGGCCTGGTGGTTAGTGTGCTCGACTCGCAATCTACGGGTCGCTGGTTCGAATCCCCGTCATCGAACGTGTTCACCCTTTCAGCTGTGAGGTTGATATAATGTGACGGTCAGTCTCACTATTCGTTGGTAAAAAGAGTAACACAAGAGGTGGTATTGTTAACTAGCTGTCTTCTTTCTAGTCTACCACTACGAAATTAGGGACGGCTAGCGCAGATAGCCCTCGAGTAGCTTTTCGCGAAATTCAAACCAAACCAAACTACTATCCTTGCATCTGTTGCCACTCATGCTGCTCTGATACAACTACTGTTGTTACTACTACCGCTATCTTATCCTTCAAACACCAAACTAGCTACTACAACCGAGTTGGCAAGTATATGTCTACAATTTCGAGCAGTAGTCATCATAACAAAGACAATGATGATTGAACATGTAACAGTAATGATTTTGCACACATTGGTGGTGTATGCATTGTCGCGAAAGGGAACTGTAAAATTTATTTATATCAAAATATTTTGTATATTACTTTAAGAATTCCTTGTCAGATACTGGGTTATATTGACAGAACTGGCGAAAATTGTGGAGAAAATGGCCTCAGGGCTGAGTAATCAGATCTTATATTGCGCAACATGTGCGGCCATTATTGTATTTTATGTAGTAATTTGGATGAGTATAGTATGGAAACTAGTACGAATTCGACAGTACTGTTGGGCAGTTCAGATTCGAGATATTGCAAGGAGTAGAATCCTTTAATCAGAATTTAAACAAGAAAGTACTGGAAAGCTTTGTTTAGGAACCGAAATACCAAAAATTCCTCCTTCACTCGCAGATTGGGTGTTTTAAAAAATACCAATTATTAGACCCTTGTACACTAGGCAATGATGAATATATTATACGTATTTATGTTTTCTCATAATTAAAAAAAATAAAATTTTCAAAATTACTTCTAGTTCAGGTAGAATGCTTGGATTTTTACTGTTGAAATTAAAAGCATATAGGATGATCCTCGAAAACCATGGGATTTTATTGGAATATCTGTTGTTTAACAACGTAACCTTCATTGTTGAAGGCCAACCTTACTATGTATCATCTAACGGTTTCTCCTTTTATTATTTATTTTTGCTCTTGTACTTGAGGAGTTAAAACGTGTCATGTTGCATTGTAAACACACGGTGTTACTGATGGATATTACTTTGTTTCCTTTCAGCTCTCTCTCTCTCTTTCTATATATATATATATATTAATATTTTAAACTCAATCGTCCCAGATTCTTGGAAATAATAATACACATTCATTTCGAGCGAGCTTTCAGAATGTATGTACAATTTACGTAATAGTTTGATAAGCGAAACCTATCCTCCACAGTATTTTGTGTCGCATACTGGTTTACTACATATTCGCAAATGTGACTAATTGCGTTTGGCATTTTCGTACAGGAAATGCTTCAAAGCTACAGCCTGATCGAAGGAATAAAGAAACCAGACAAACAGTATGCACACAAATCGCACGCAATCGCTAACAATTCATGCAGAAATCTAAACAATTTACAAAAGGATGTTATGGAGGTGACAAAATTGGTGTGCTACTTGTTTCCCGCTACAGCAGCAATCCATGAATATGTTTAAACACTTGATCACATCTTCTCCCCCCCCCCCTCTTCCCTACTTACATGGAATTGAAACAGGGTGTTAGAACTCTTAACTACTTTCCCGGACACGTCTATCAGAGGAAATCATTTGTCAAAACGATCCCTGTTCTGACACATGACGTTTTACAAGGGCGTTTTTTTCCCACGTTTATGCCTAGGCTGTTAAAATGATGTAGAAGAGAATCGGTTTTATGTATACATACAGGTATGTATAATCGATGCGAAAATTTGGACCAGCTTTTGTGTGAAAGGCGTGACTCAGGTGCAATGAAAAAATTATGGTAAATAAAAGATGGCTGTTGAATTAAGTTAAACGGCCTTACACAGATCATTATGCATGAGCCAAATGGGTTATTACATTGTTCCAAGGATACAAGATAGTAATTTAGGGTATTTATTAGGAAAATTTTACTTACCCTTGGCAAATAGGTCTGTGATAAACATTTAACAGAATAAATAAAGTTAAAACAAGAATATTTATAACCGCTGAAAAAATATCTACTTATTTTTAATAGGATTTTATTAATAATCACCAGAGAAATATTACTCCATTCCTCCTTTAGGAAAACTGTATGAAGTCCTGCTAACACCTAAGACTAACTCATCCTTTTCTCACTATATTATTTACAGTATTTAAGTACAGAGTGTTGAACTTTTTCTTCTTTTAATTAAGTTTACACTGTAATAGGAGTTACAATGCAGTACTTACATGATATATACCGATAATATAATTTTAAAATGAACATAGTGTACGTTTAAAGAAATGTCCAAGTTTGTGACTTATGCAGCTGTCCTGCAGCTAATATATATTTTTCTTTTGTTGTTATTTTTTTGTCAAGCGCGATTTAATGTGATTATAATATATATTTATATTTATATTAATGTAACGACACATTGGCACATCGGTATCAAGTCTCTAGTATTTCACTGCTAAATTAGGGACGGCTAGCACAGATAGCCCTCGTGTAGCTTTGCGCGAAATTCAAACAGACGAAACTTTTTGGATATATATTTTAATAACATACTAAATCGCATCACTAAATAATCACTACATGGGCAGTGCAAGTTTTTACTAGACAATGGGTAACACACATTCTGGCGTTTGCCAGTCATAAGTAGTACTGACAAGTAGGCATAACAGTATTTACTATTAAATAAGCAGAATACAAGGGTTGCTACTTACTCACCAATAAACAAACGTCATGATTTACAGACAATAATTAAATATGATAGATATATTAATATCTTCTCTTATATAAATGTGTGTACCGTCGTAGGTTCAAAACCCATCACTAGACATTCTCGCACCTTCAGGTGTGGGGCATTATAATGTAACGGTCAATCCTAATATTCGTTAGTAAAAGAGTAACTCAAGAGTCTTGTGTTGGGTGGTGTTGGCCAGAAATGTGCAAAAGTTTGTGCTTATTAATCTACATTAACGACACATACATACAAATACTATATATGCATAATACGTTTGATGGCTATACCAGTTAACTGTCATTATCTTACAGTAAAGTCATGTATCCAAACAATTACAACAATACTGGAAAAATTAGTTAAATATTGGGTATACTTGGGGGCATTATTGAACACCTGAAAACGTGCGTACCCTAAAGCAGGGCTAACTCCCCATTATTTAAGGGACTGAGGTCACCTCCATCCTTAGTGAAGTATGAACGATATTCGACTTTTACGTATTAATTTATAATCGGTACTTTAAATGGTGGCTTACAACGTTAAAAATATATATTCGATACCTGCACTGAACAGATATCCCATTGAGTATTGTTTGTTTTTGAAGTTAAGCACAAAGCTACACAATGGGCTATTTGTGCTCTGCCCACCACGGGTATCGAAGCCCGGATTCTAGCGTTGTAAGTCCGTAGACATACCGCTGTGCTACTGGGGGGCCCTATTGAGTAGCTTTGCGCTTAACAAAAAACAAAACAAAAAAGTCAGTCGGTGTCTTAAGTCTACTTTAATTATTATTATTTTACTGATTTTCAGAGGGTTCAACCCACATTAAATTATCTAATGTTTTGTGTTTTTAGAACTATCTTAAACCGATCAAGCACAATTATTTTAGTTATTTCGTGACCTTATTATTTTTTCGTTCTGTTAGTTATGAATTTTAACTTGTGTGTGTATATATATATATCTATATTTATTTATTTATTTTTCAGGTGGACTTTTGGAAGTGCATGAACGAAACACTAGAAGGTAAAAATTTTCAGTCTTACTTACACCATTTATGTAATAGAAAATTTTCTACAATTAATTTTATCACAAGCAGTTTTTTAACTCATGTGCCATCGTGATCACATCCATATCTGCCACACTTGTAAAACCTTGGACACTCGTTACTTTATATTTGCAGATTAGCTTTGAAACCGACCTCACCTGATCTTGAATCGTTCTCCTCCTTCACATCGTTGAGATTGACAGCACGACAAGTCGTGTTCACTCACTTCCGCATTTCAGTGCTAGCCGTTGGATACATCCGTGCCCCCCAGTGGCACAGCGGTATGTCTGCGGACTTACAACGCTAGAATCCGGGTTTCGATACCCGTGGTGGGCAGAGCACAGATAGCCCATTGTATAGCTTTGTGCTTAATTATAACAAACGCATACATCCGTAAGTTAATCGTTCTTGTACGCAGACGGTGGCCGGAAAAAAAAAGTCACAGTTTTGACTAGGAAAAAAGTCACGAATTTTTTTAATACCCAAAGACAATGTAAAGTAAATACATAAACAATTTCAAGTTATTTATTTATTGCAGTAATAGCATGATAAATGATATGTAACATTATATGAAAAGAGGCATATATGAGGTAAATTATCACATGAATGAGTGGAATAATTAAATAATTTAACTTCAATGATCTGAAAAAATTATAAACATAAATTTTCAAATTGTGAATTTTGTTCCTACATTCAGACAGACATACTTCTTGGAAGCTTCTCTGACTTCTCTTACTGCTAACTTTTTGAGCAACTGATGTGCCATCGTGATCACATCCATATCTGCTACACTTGTAAAACCTTGGACATTCGTTACTTTATATTTGCAGATTAGCTTTGAAACCGACCTCATTTCAATCTCGATAAGAACAAACGCCCAGCGATTCTGACTCGTTGTCTTAGCAGCTACTCACAGTAATGGTGAGTGTTTCCTAGATAATCAGGCAGGTGCTAGCACTGACTATGTAGGGATGACTCGGATTGTTCACCGAAAAAGTATTTTAAATATCTCCTCAATAGGTCATCAGAAC